TGAAGTAAGCTGACCTAACTTTTTACATCAAAGTATACTAGAGGTTTTTCATTAGGCCTAAAAATGCTTGGCCTCTCTATTTTACTTTTGATTAATTTTTTATTTTAATTTTAATTAATAGCTCCTCTCTCTTTATGTTTATTTTTTTACTTTTCATGATTTTTTATTTAAATTTTAATTAATACCTTCTCTTTTATATTATCTTATATTGTTTTGTTCATTTAAAAAAATAACTAATTTTCTTAATTGTTTTTATATTTTTTTTAATGTTTCAAATAGATTATAGTGATTTTATTTAGATTTTATTTTATTTTATATTTTATATAAATAAATTGTATTTGTATAATGACATTACAAGAACAAAAATTGTTCGTTCTTGAACAACCAAAATTAACCTTTAGATAAAAAAAAACATATAAAATAAAAAGGACAATGAAGGTTAAATATTTGAATGTGCATGTATATTTTTATTTTTACAAGGAAGATTATCTTCTTCTTTTTTTAGTTTTTAACTAATTTATCACTCATGCTTTCATTGTAGGTTAAACATAAAAAAATACCTAGATCACTAAAAGAAATTTGACATTGTCATTAAAACTTAAAAATCATAACTCAAGAATTTGATTATTATTTAGTTAATTTTCCAAACTCACAAACAAGATTAAGGATTTCACTAGCCCAAATTTATTTTTTTATTTTATTAGATGATAGAAAATACAAAAATTGATTTACTATTAATCCAATACTCAAAAATAAAAATCTTACACTAAATGATAAAATTAAAAAAAAAAACTAAAGATATAAACAAAAAAGCCAAAAAATCTCAACCCAACTCTTTAATTAATATTTAGTCAACCCGTCAAACTCATGACCTGAGTTATGAACTCCACTTGATAGATTTATTTATTTATTTTATTTTATGATAAGAAATATGAAAGTTGATTTATCATTAACTCATTACTGAAGGATAAAATTTAATGAAAATCATACACTAAATAATAAAATTGAAAAAAAAAACAAAAACAAAAAATATAAAAAAAGGCTAAGAAATCCCAACCCGATTCTTTGATTAATAGTTAATTAAATTTGCGACATGAGTTATGGACTATACTGATTCAATTTGTTTTTATAGAACTTATTATATGATAAGAAAATATAAAATATAGAAATTGATTTACTATTAATTTAATATTAAAAAATAAAATTAAATAAAAACTCAATAGGAATTAAATAAATAAAAAAACTAAAGATAGAAAATTGGTGTTAATAACAAAGCCAAGCATTACCCAAGGGAGCCAAGGATTGAAGTTGATAACAAACGACCAAATTAATATATTTACTTAGCTTAGTGTAGCTTATTTTATAAACTATTTGGGTGGTTTGAAGGTGACATGACTCGTATCCTGCATGTTTAAAATAATTTATAAATTGGTTTCCGCCCTTTGACTACTTTTTTTTTTTACTATAGTTAAAAAATTAAGCTACAAGGGTTTAGATTTTTCTTTTTTAAAGATGTTTATGGATATACTCTATTCAGGTTTGGATCTGTAATTATAATCAATTTTATTTTTAATAATTTATATATTATAATCTTAATTCATTTAAATTTTTTGAATTTGAGTGGGTTGAATATATCATATTAGATTAATTGTTTTTATAAATATTAAAAATATTCATTGGTCGGGCTAGCTTATGAATTTTCTTATTCTTAAACGATGCTTGTAGAAATAATTGAGAACACTTCAGAAAATCAGGCAGAAATCAATTGATGTTCTAAAACAATAGAGTCAGCTGAAGAATTTTAGAGTTTGAAATGCAAATGCATGGGAGAATAGCAAGTTCTGGGCTTGAGATGTAGTAGAATTAGTGTATTTGATATTGTTGTAGTTACTCCGGTTATGGTTTAAAAAAAATTATTTTATAAAAGGTATTTAATTGGTTATAGTTAAAAAAAATATTTTATAAAAAGTACTTTTAATTAAGATTAGTTTAAAAAAATATATATTTAATTAAAACTGTGGATGAAATTGATATTAAATAAAAAATAATTTAATATATTTGGTTAAAAATACTTTTCAAATTGAGACTACAAAATAACTAAAAAAATATATATTAATATTACTGATTTTTAATTATAATGTTATAGATTTAACTATTACACATCATAAATATAAATAATACTCAATACAAAATATTTTTTATTATTCTATTACATTATCTGTAATTTTATCACGTACAAAATTTATCCAAAAATAAAAAAAATAATGGTAAATAAAAACATGGTGTATATATATATATATTAAAGAAATTCATTTTTTCTATAAAAACAAAAAATTTATTAGTCACTTTTTCAGCAGCTGGTATATGTAATTCAACTTCATTATCACATAGTAACCGCATATATAGTCCATCTTAGACACAATTACCATAAATCACAAATTTTGATTACAAATGACAAAATCCATCAACTCAAACACAAAATTGGATTGTAACTTAAAATGAAGATGGGGACAAAAGCATATATACACATCATCTATAATATTCACATTCGATTTATAATATTTTTTTATTTGAATTTTTTAACTCACTATCATCTATAATATGCATATTAACTAACTTTAATGAGTTGTGTCGAGTAAGATAATATAAATTGGAGTGTTTCCTGGATTTTCCCTCCAAAGTCGTCTGTTTCTAAATTATTTCACGTTAAGACCTGTATTTTCTGAGCCTTGCATTCTCTCTGGTCCTCACCCAAAACGCTCAGTTTGCACATATGCCTAATAAAATAGGCTACATTAAAAAAAAAAAAAAAAAGAACAACAAATAAAAAGATGTGAAATAATCCATGTCATATTAAAAATTAGAGAAGAATCATATAGAAAACAACAAAAAAAAGTGAATCCTAATCTCTAATTAAATAAAATCTAAATGATGAAACTGAAAAAAATATAAATTTAAAAAAATTGAAAAAACAAGTAAGCTCGAGACCTATATTAATATCTAAAACTTGCAACTAGAGAGATTTTAGATTTGAATTCAATTAAAAAATTTAATTCTCAACTAACTTAATATTGAAGGTTGAGATGGAAAAAAGTATCAATTTAAAAAATTTATCAAAGTAAAAAATAAATAACAATCAAAAGAATAGAAATCAAATCTGAGAAGAAAACATTGGAGGAAGAAATCATAAAAAAAAATTAATTTTAAAAATTATCTCAAATAAAATATATACACATTAAAATAATAGGGATCAAATCTAACAAAGTAAATAAATAAAGGAAAGTGAAATTGAAAATAAAATTTAATTTATAAATAATTTAAAATAAAATAAATAATAATCAAAAAAGAGAAAAAAATAATTTAAAAGATTGCTTTGAAAATTTAAAAGGTCAGGTGTGGAAAACAAAGATAAAAGAGAGAAGAAAAAGAAAAGGTTATCGGAGTTAAGTCAGAGGATCATTGGTTAGACATGCTATATAAGGATGGAGAGATTGCCTAAGACAATTTTAACGTCATCCGATAAACTATCATATGTTCAACCAAACATCTCATTACACACTTGTCAAATAGGGTTAAAACAACTCATACACTGATGCGTGTAATGTATACAACAATCTTTTTTAAAATAATATTAGTATTTATTAAATTATAAAATTATCCTTCAGCCAATTTAATTATAACTAAAAATAAGATAAAAAAAAAACCATTTAAAGAATTTTGTTTATAAAGTTAATTTAATTATTTTATTATGTTTAAAAAAAAGTACAAAGTCAAAAAAGAAATTAATGAATTTTAAAAAAAGGATTGTAATAGCCCAATGGGTAATTCAATGACTTTTACTTTGAATGACAAAATAATCATTATAATGTTAAATTCACAGTACAATATGTCTCGATTTACAGTAAAAAGTTGATTCTTATTAGTTTTTTATATATAAAAAATAGATCAAGTTTGTGCAATTTGATAAAATCCAGGACGACATCACAAAATACAAGGAGTTTTAGAGATAAATTAATATTTTAATTTTAAAAAAATTGGAGTCATATTTAGAAATCTATATTCAAATACAATATTTATCCATCTAAAAAATTAAAATACTAGTTTTAAAAAAATTATACTGTGGAAAATATATTTTAGAAGATCTTCATTTTTTACTAGTTTTTCATATAAAGAAAATATATAAGCAATTCAATTTTTCTCTTTTATATCCAAGTTATTTTTAGTAATGTAAAAATGAATTTCTTTTGACATTTTTATATTCAGTTAGTAGTATAAGTTTAATTTTATTATAAATTCAATATAATTTTTTTTTCCAAATTAACAATATCACTTTAACATGATGATTTTTAATTTGAATGAAATAAAACTAATATTTTATAATTATATTATCATGAATATAAACTATTAAGATGACTATTATAAATTATAAAAATAATTTTTATCTTGATGCATTTTTATTTTTTAAAAAAAAACTTTGTTTTCTTTTTCAATAAATAAACATGTTTTCTAATTTGTTTTATTAAAAAAATAAACAAAAACTAAAAATGAAAAATAATGTTAATGAACATAATGGAATTATCAAAGATGCGCTAAAGCATTTGGCTAGTTTAATGTTTATCCTGTAGAGTAGGTACCTTGCAACGTGGCGCAACGGAAGGAAGATAGTATAAAAGTCCCGTTTAGCTTTTCGAGTTTATTTTAAAATATATTAAAATAATATATGTTTTATTTTTTAAAATTTATTTTTAATATTAATATATCAAAACAATTTAAAATAAAAAAATAATTTAAAACTTTAAAAAATTATAAAATTATAAAAACACAATTGAATCCTAATAAGGCATGAAATTTTATGTTTAATAATAATATAAGTACATTTTAATTTTTTGAATTAATATATAATTTTTTTAATATCAACACATTAAAATAATTAAAAATATTAAAAAATATTAATTTAATACCTTTTAAAAAATAATTTAAAAAACATATCCTGCCACATAAACAAACACTCAAAACCACAACGCCAGGTGTCGTAATTCTAAGCGGCTCCACGTCTTGTGGAAACCTCGAGTCGCTCCGACCCCACCGTTAACCAAAACAAACACAGCTCCAACTTTCCCTCTTTAAGCTCCTCAAAAGTTACGATCCCAGCTCTGACTTCAAAGTTCAAAAACCTCTCAGCCAATCAAAATCAAACCCTACTAACACATCTTCTACGTGTCGCACTCTTATTAGCTATAGTGGTATTACGTAATTTCTACAAGGACCAAGGGCATTTCCATATCAAACCTGTCTCCTCCTCTCTTCCTCTTAAACCCCACTTTTTTTCTCCTTAGAAACCCTCCTTTTCTTTTTGCTCATATTTGCAAAAGAATCTCTCTCAATAGCCGCCATGGCCTGGCTTAACCGATTAGCCATCACCGCAGCGCCATCATTCCGTCGTGTTAGCCGATTCCCCGGCAGTCGAGGTTATGGATCAGCAGCAGCAGTCCAATGCGACTATGATTATTATGATGACTATTATTCAGAAGCCGTAGAAGACTACGGACAGCTTAATCTGCTGAAGCCGAATTTGGAGTCGGTGGCTGGGTCGGCTTCAGGGAAAGGAGTGCAGTGGGTCTTAATAGGAGACCCAGGAGCTAAAAAGCATGTTTACGCGGAGAAACTCTCGAAGCTTCTAGAAGTTCCTCACATTTCCATGGGTACCCTTCTTCGTCAAGAGCTTAACCTTAACTCTTCTGTTTATAAACAGGTGCTTTTTTAGGGTTTTTTTATCGTAAAGTCTTGGTCTTAAATTATTTTTTTTTTTTGGTTAATGGGATTTGATATTGATTGGTTTTTGGAATTTTTTGTTTTTAGATTGCAAATGCGGTGAATGAGGGAAAATTAGTGCCTGAAGATGTGATTTTTGGGTTGTTATCAAAAAGGCTTGAAGAGGGTTATTATAGAGGTGAAAATGGGTTTATTTTGGAAGGAATTCCCCGAACGAGAATTCAGGCTGTAAGTTTCTCGTTTTCTGATTAGTGGCATTTGTGTTTCGCAAGCAAGTGGATGATTGTGGGGTTTTGTTTTAATTGGTAGAATTTAAGGACTGTTGAAGGAATGGAAGTTGATTTTGTTTTTTAAAAAAAAAATATTATTATTATTTTGCATCTTTTGGTGGTGTTTTTATATGTAATTATGGCATTTTGTCTTATGATGATTGAGGAAATGGTGGGATTTTTCTTTGCAGGAGATTCTTGACCAAATTGCGGATATTGATCTAGTTGTTAATTTTAAATGCGGTGAAGGGAATGTGGTGAAAAAGAATCTTATAAGTGCAGAAAATTCTAGTACTGTTGCTGATGCGGGAAGTGTGTCAAATGAAAAGTCTCGAATATACGCGCAGGAGGTACAACGTGTTCTTTTTCATTTCTGAATTAGATTTCGCATTATTGGTGTTTTGAAGTGTTCATTTAGTGATTATAAGTTTTTGTTTGTTCAAAACAATGCTTATCTATGTTCTTACTTCTGGCATCCTAGATGCCTCTGAAAGGGCTGTATATTTTCGCCTGGTTGTATTAGAATTGCATTTTGCCACTGATAGCTGTTTTCATGGCCCTGTGCTTTGTATTACTATTGATATTTTCCTATTCTTCATTATCAAACTTCGTGTAGATTTTGGATATTGGAGCGTTTATTCAGTTCTCTGGTCATCATTATTGGAATATGGTTGCATCGAAGAAAAATGAGTTATATTATCTTACGTTTGCTGCTTGAAAGAATATACCACAAAATGTCTTTTCACATTGTCAAACGATTGTTTGAGTCCTTTTGGTTCAAATTAATATTTTAATCAGAGGAATTCGGTAATTTGCTCATTAAGTATTTGTTCTTTTATTAGCGAAAAGCATTGGAAGGATACTACAGGAAACAGCAGAAGCTTCTTGACTTTCAAGTGGCAGGTGGATCTGGAGAAACATGGCAAGGCTTGTTGGCTGCATTACACCTCAAACACCTGAGTGCTGTTAGTTCTTCACCAAAATTGGCTGCATGATTTTTCTTCTATGCAAACTGTGGACTGCTTCGGTTTCATTCCCAAGCAGGCATGGTATAGTAAATATTTATAATGGGAGCACCATACGAGTTGGTGTGGCGATTGTCCAATTGGATTTTTGGATCTTTCTTTTCGAAGTTTAGCTTATCTAAGCAGTTGCAATTTTGAGAATGTATGGTTGTAAGGTAATTTTGGCGAGAGATATAAAACAAAGAACACCGGCAAGTGTACTTTTGCGTCTTGTCTCTGATTTGTGGTCTATATTGTGTTTCAATTCAATCTGTCTGGTACACGAATTTAGTTCTGTGGAAATCATATGCTTGTTCCCTTCGTGTCTTTTCCTTTCTTCAACTTTCAGAAACTGGGACGGCCTATGAAGCTTTGATTCAGTGATGATGGACTGACTCCACGGTCAAGGCTTGAGCTCCAGGAGTTAAAAGGTTTCTAGACTCAAACCCCGCACTCCTAGAATGATAATGACGGGAGAAAAGAAAAAATGTAGCTACTCAAATGGCGGCAACCGAACCTTGATTTGAACTAATTGTTCGCATCTGCAGGCTTGCCAGGTCTGAACATCTATGCCGTTACATGAGTCTACTAAAAGACTATGGCGCTTTAATAACCCTAACACCTTGTCGTAGGAATATTGAGCTCCTTGAGAAATGTTCTGAAGACCAGCTCCAGATTCAGATGTATGCATGCGGCATGCTAACTTCCACGTCAGTTACAATGGCACTCTGTCAACCCAGTTTTGGACCGTACAAATTCCTAACACTATCAGGGCAAGTTGGCAACTTGGTTTTTAGCTTCAAGACCCGAACATAGGGTGTGCAAGCTAATACACATGCCTAAAAATTCAGGAATTAATTAAAACAAACACCTCTTTACGTGACCACTTTCATGAAGCACTTTATCAGTTGAGAGATTTAAGAATCATAATGAAGGTCATGAAAAGAGAAATTTCTCTTCAAAATGCTAAAACAGGCACTCCATTTCTACATGAAGGTTTGAGATGTTCTCTAAAGCTACACGATCTGCATTTTCCTTTTTTACAAGTACAAGATAACCAAATGGACCCAAAACTTGACCGCTGATTTAATACTAAAAAACAAACAAAGCTAATCATATATTATTTGTATAGACATGTGAATTTACATATATAGTTACTCACTGTTCATCCATATCTCTCTGAGAAGTTCATATCTGATGGTATTGTCAATGTCCTTCTTTGATTTCCAGCTGGGCTTTGTTGGGGCAGGTGAAGACCGCGCCCCATCAAGTATGATCGAAGCCAAAGGTGAATTCAATTCATCAAGCTCGTCATCACTGGTGTAGGATTTTCTGACAATTGAGGAGCCACCTTTTCTCAGCTTAGATTGACTTCCAAACTCTCCAATGATTTTGGCAATGGAAGCTGCTGAAGGTGGTAAATAGATAGGAGGAGCTGCAATGCATGGTACCATTGTGACAGACTCCTCTCCAGCCTCAATAGCATCCTAAATGAAAAAAAAAAAAAGAGAGAGATGATTGCTTATGATCTCGTAATGAGCTTATTCCTGGTGGTGATACCACAGTACCCTTAAATCAGCTAATTCATGGTGGCAAGAATACTTAGTACTCTTTAAATGTAGTATAGAAAAGAGGATGCAATTTGGTCTGTGGTTCTAGCTAGCTTTAAAATAGAGCCAATTCAAGGTAGGCTTGTGGCCAACTCAAAACCAGCAAATTAATCATTGGAACAGAGGGTAACAACTAATGCAAAATTCTGGGGTCCAAATTTCTCTGTTCTTGTTTTAAGATCTTTTTGTGCAACTCTTTTATGCAACATTTTGGTAATAACTAACAAGGATTTGGTCCCAGTTAGATTAATTACCAATTTACCAACCAACATTAAATTGCTTGTATATTTTTTAACCAATACCAACTCACTAACAACTTGCACCCTTATAAAAAGATTCATGCTAAATGTCATCAGCCTCCAGGAACATGCCTGAGTAGAACCACTGATAAGTATAGAAGTGAAACATATCCATTCATTTTGAATGTGACTAACCTCAGTGTCCAAGGCTTCAAACACAACATCTGGAATAGGATCTGGACAGAACTCGTCTAAGACAAAATTATCAAGAACCCTCCTCATCAATGGTGCAGCAAATGTGGGGCATACCTTCAAAAATAGCATGACGTTTATTAAGGATTGAAAACATGGCTCATGCAAGTTTGAGATGAATGAAGGGTGTGAGTATGATAGCTTGCAATGAATAAATAGCGTGAGTATGTCAAACCTCTTTTCTGATGGATTTACTTAAGAGCATGTCCTTTGGAAGCATCATGAGATCACTTAATGCATTAAGGAGATGGAAAGGCTTGAATGTCGTGTCTGGTCTCTCATCAATCTCATCGTTTTCATTGTCATCTTCAAGCAAGTCATCATCATCCATACCAAATAGATCAGTCAGCCATCTTGACCAGTTCCCAATCTGATATTTTCAAAAAGTACAAGGAAAGTTACTTCATTAATGGCAGCCATAGAAAACCTTAAACACCCTCTCCAACAATACAGGTTAATGGCTTTCAAATTGGTGTCTCTTACCATCAAGTCTAGTCTTTGGTATGAATAGGATTTATCAACTTGTGAAGACAAATGGACATGCAGCATCAAAATATCACATGCATGCATGGTATGTAGATGTTTTTCTTAGTATGAAAAGCCTCTTTTCCCTTTCTTTCTTTCTTTCATTCCTTTTTTTTTTCCCCCGAGAGAAGCATGACATGCATTATTCAAATGTGGAAATAAGAGGAGAAAAACAAGTCACATCTAGTACAACTTTTGGAGATGTCAGATGGGATCTGAACTGTCCTCCTCTTCAATTTTGAAAAAAGGAAAGGAAAGGGAGACAGGTTTGACTCCCATTTTACAACTAAATGGTTGCAAGTTTAAGAGAGGTAGCAATAAGAGACCAAAATGAAGGTCAAACTCTAAAAGATAACAGCAACAAGTTCCCTTAGGTTAGGCTTAGGTTAGGCTTCTGTGTCGGAACTTTATCCTCACCACATTTTTCAGTTGTGCACCAGCCCCAAAGCTTGATGACCCTGCTGGAATTGGGAGAACTTTTGGATCACTGATGGGATCAGATACTGGGTCAGTTGGGATCTCATCAACAGATTCACGAAGGATAGCATTGAACATTGCCACATCTAATCTAGCTACGCATTGCTCCATTATCTAGAAACATAATAGTAATATATTATCATGCCATATTGTTTGCAGAAACAAATTATCAATAGTAGGAAAAGCATAATCAAAGACAAATAATATTAGTTAACAAATGAAAATTAGTTGAAACAATTATCAGCAAACATGTTGTCAACAACCATATGAGTTCAACAATTCAGCACTCTTTGTTTTCAGATGATATTTCAAATATTCCTTCCATCTACACAGTAAAAGCATTACCATATGTTGTTCACGTTCAAAGAATTCCATTGTAAGCTATGTTGGTTGTTCACATGCTATAACTTGTCAGTGGTATATAAAAACACATTAACTTTGATGACACCATTGAGATTTATAGATTTACCAGTCTTGCCAGCACAGGTAAACAGCCACATTCATGGCCTCCAGCTCGAACAGGACAAAGTCTTTCACAGGCATCTTTGAATGCCTTCTTCCAATGCTCTAATGAAATGTTCCCTTGGTCTTCGTGAACCAACCGCGATGTCCTTCCAAGGTTTTTCTTTAAGCCAGAACTATCAAGTTGAGCAATTTCCTTTGTAGCAGCAGCTTGCATGTGTGGGGTCAGAGTCTGGTGCAGAACCATGAAAAAGATTCATGTAAAGTAATATTAAAGAAGCAGGGTTTCAAAATTTTAAAATAATAGTACAGTTAATGAGAAATCAACAAAGACAAAGGAGAACAGGTTGAATCAATGAAGAACCTGCCACCAGATTGATTCAATGGTGCGGGAGAAGATCCAAGCTTCAACTCTTTCCAGTGCAGATGTAAATACATGTGGGTCCTCCCAGTCACTGGAATCTTCATAAAGACCATTCTTATTTCCCTTTCGGCTGGGAGATACCTCTTTCCATTTCAATGAAGATGCTATGATCTTGTTTCCCTTCCTTTCCGTACATTGTCCTGAAGAAATTTTGCTTTCTGTATCACCAATAGTTTGGCTTATAATTGTCCTCAAAACAACAGAGTTTGATAACCAAAATGTCAACCTGTATTTAGAGTAAAAGCATGAAACATGAGCTTGCAAAAGAATTTTGAGAATATCAGCTAGATAGTAAAGAAAGTAGCAGTAGAATGAATAGTACCACAGGTGACATGGTTTTTAAACAATTATATTTCCACCACACGATGTTTTCAGGTTGAAAAACACATCATGGTTCATGGCCAGGGTTATGGTGTTCCAGTCAAAATAAAATGATTTTCTTTTGTCCTTTGGCTCCAATATTGTTGTGGAGCGGGGTCAGGTGATTTAGCCTTTGTAAGGCAGTTACTATATTCACTTGGTCAAACCAGAATAGATAACTTCTTGGATCCAACATGTAACTATGATGGGAATCCAACTTCCAATACTTTAGAATGTCAAAATAAATGATGATGCATGGTGAAAGATGCCTGGAAATGTAGAAAAGGATGTGAATTAGAAATACCTAGGGACGTCATTTCCACATGCTTTTGCAACCAGAACTAGTCCTGAAATGGCACTTCTAGCTGCACTAGCTCTTCTTGACTGGAAACTTTCTCTACAAGCATGAAGATATAGTCTAGAAAGGCGGCGAGCCGGAGCATGAACCTTACTCATGGAACTTCCATGCTCAGCAACAACAGAGTAAAGAGAAGCCTCAATAGCAGCAGCTTCTTTCAACTCTCCCTCGAGCATCTTTATTTTGTGTTCCAATTGATGGATCTTGCCATCTAAAATGTTTGTTCGGGTATCTTTCGGATAAATCTGTGCATTTTTTCTTTCATTGAAGCTAAGGCTCCCAGCACTGTGATGTGCATCTCTCATCAGACCAACTTCATTGTGCTGATTTCTGATACCAAATCCATTGCTCCTCAGTGAGTCTGATGATGACCTAACAGATTTCACATGCTTTAATCTATCAATTTTGAGGATATTTCCCTTCATATCAACGCCCCTGGGTGAAGTAAATGTATAACTCCCCAGTGGGTCATCATCTCTAGCATGATATGGAAAATTATCAACTGGTTCATCTTCTGAGAATTGCTT